CCGCCCGCCGCGCCCGCGCCGCACCCCGACGCCGAGACCTTCGACGCCTCCCTGGAGGAGGGCCTCGCCAACGCCACGCTCGCCCCGGCCACGCCCCTCGCCGACGCGCTCTACTCCGACGCGGACGCGCCGCCCGTGGTGCGGTGCCTCAAAGAGGAGCGAGCGGGTACGGGCCCCGCCACGGCCTTTTCCGGCGCTCCTGCGCGATGTAGGGAGGCTCCTCATTGCTTGTGTGATTGAGCAGGATGGGACTGACGAGGTTAGATTCCCCAGGATTGAATTCCCAAGGAGAGAACTATTGACAATAGCATCCCAAGGTCAGAATTCCCAAGTATAGGATTCCCAAGGGTAGGATTTCCAAGGTTATGATTCCCAAAAATAGTATTCTCAAGGATAGAATTCGCGAGGATGGAATTAGCAAGGAGAGAATTCTTAAGAAAAGGATTCCAAATAGTAGAATTTCCAAGGTTATTATTCTCAAGAATAGGATTCCGAAGGATAGAATTCCCAAGGATTAAGCAAATTCTCAAAGATAAGAATCCTAACGATAGGATTCAAAGGATAGGATTCACAGTGATAAGATTCCTAAGTATAGGATCCCCAAGAGTAGGATTCCCAAGCTTAGGAGTCCCAAAAATAGCATTTCCAAGGATGGAATTCCCAAGGATAGAATTATTAAGAATGGAATTCCCTAGAATAGTTATATCAAGGATATTATTCCATAGAATTTAAGACCAAAATATGATTCAAAAGATTACGTTTGACAATAACATGATTGTGCATGAGATGATTGTAAATGATTATCCCAATCTTATAATTTACAAAGATAGGATTCGGAAGGATGATGTTTTCTTGGATTCGGTTACAAAGAGTTGATTTTAAAAGACAGATACCCTAAAGTTAAGGTTCTGAAAAATAGAATTCCAAATGGTGAATCCTAAGCTGAGGATTGCGGCAGATATACTCCAAAGAACAGAGTTCCCCACACTCCGGCAAAGGTCTACGCAGACGTCCAGTCGGACGCCCTTCCGGTGCGGTGTCTGAAAGAGGACTGCGCGCGTACGAGCGGCAGTTGTTGCGTTACAGACGCACGTCGGATGCAGAATGATCAGAATTCGAAAAAATTACTTGCCAAGTTTACGATTCTGAAATAATGGATTCCAAATGAATGACTTAAAACGTCCAAAAAACTGATTCTGAAGGACGTGATGACAAAGTTCAGGCTTGCCAAGCATTCTGGAAAATAGGATCGCAAATATAGATGCATACATAAAACTTTCAAGGATAATATTCGGAAAGATATATTAATTAAGGGTAAGATTTGGAAGAAAAGAAAGATTCCCAAAGTCTTAGGAATTTTACAAACTTGATTCTCAAGGACAAAGAAAGGGTACACAAGGATAGGAAGTTTAAGGTAAGACGTCTGATGGCAAGGACTCTGAAGATAAGGAATCTCAATGTCAGGAGTCTCAGTGCCAGGAGTCTCAATGCAAGGAGTCTCAATGTCAGGAGTCTCAATGTCAGGAGTCTCAATGTCAGGTGTCTCAGTGTCCGGAGTCTCAATGTCAGGAGTCTCACGATCAGGAGTCTCATGGTCAGGAGTCCCAAGGTCAGAAGTATCAAGGTCAGGAGTCTTAGGTACAGGAATCTTAGGTACTGGAATCTTGTGTAAGAGAATCTCGGGTCCTGGAATCTTGAGTTTTGGAATCTTGGGTACAGAAATCACAGGGACAGGCGCTTCAAGGTCAGGAGTCACAAGTAGAAATTTTCCAAATAATGCGGTTCCGAGATCTTCCAACCCTCATCTCAATCCCAGACGGTATGATTCCCAAAAGCACTCAGCTACCGAACCATGTCCGGCAGAGCCAAGCGCCAGGTGCTGCCCCCAGCCGAGCGTGTCGGCGCGTGCGTTGCAGTGAGCGAGACGGCGAGCGTGGTGCTGCGCACGTGCGTGCTGGTGGCGGAGGACACGCCCGAGTTCGGCTGCTCGCCGCACCCGGCCGCGCTGCACTGCTCGCTGTGCGCCGAGGACGAGTGCAACGCCGCCGCGCCGCTCGCGCTGCTGCCACCGCCGCTGCTGGTGGTGGTGATGCTGCTGCTCGCCCCGCGCTGCTGACGCCCCATATCGCCCGCCCCGGCGGGGCCCGGACCGCTCGCCCCGATCTGCTCGAACCGAACCGCCTCGAAACGCCCCCGAACCACCCGAAAACGCTCCCCCGCGAGAACCACCCACCCCAACCAACCTGAACCGACCCGAAACGTCCCGAACCGACCCGAAACGTCCCGAACCGACCCGAACCGACCCGAACCGACCCGAACCGACCCGAACCGACCCGAACCGACCCGAAACGACCCGAAACGACCCGAAACGACCCGAAACGACCCGAAACGACCCGAAACGACCCGAAACGACCCGAACCGACGCGAACAGACTCGACCTGATTCGACCCGATCCCACCGAACCCGAACCGTCCCGAACCAACCCAACACGACCCGACCAGAACCGACTCAACCTCATCCGACCCGATCCGAGCCGACCCGATCCCACCCGAACCGACCTGAATCGTCCCGAACGAACCCAACCCAAACCGAACCGACCACCTAATCCCAAACTGCCCCAAACCACCCCACGATGTTGCTTCACTCCGCCCCGCCGCTCCTTGTACACGCCCTCACGACCTTGTCATTGCTGATCAGCTCCGCCGCGTTTACAACAGGAAACCCTCTTTAACAATTCCAAAAGACCGAAAAAAATCCATGTTCGTGTTATCTGATTACTATGTTTCGTCTGAGGGTCTTCATAATGAGATTTTGTGAGAGAGACATTTTTGGCAGAAAACTATTATTTTAGGGCCCTGATAAACAAAACGTGGATAAATCCAGTTGCTAAATTTAGAAAAAATCCTCTAACATGTAATGCAACACAAATCCAGGTTTTGTGGGCACTTTATTCTGAAAAATAGAATTGGCGGCAAAACTGTTGGTCCATCCGCCTGTCCGTCCGGCCGTCTCTCTGATTGATGTTCCATTGAATTTGAAATCGATATATTTTTGTACGACAGTTAAGAGAATGGTACAGGTCTCCCGCCGTTCTCTCCCCTCCCCGACCTTTAACATCCCATCCCAACCCCGCCCACCCCTCGCCTTCCATTCCACTCCCCACGCCACCACGCCCTCCCTTCCCCACCACGGCCTCTCCCTTCACCCTTTCCCGCCCAGTTCCTTCACGCCCGTTCTGTGTCGGAGGGTTCCACTGCTCCCTTCACCTACCCTCAGGTAAGGAAACGCAAGCCTTGCTTCTGAGCATTGATTTAAATGCTAAGTATACAGGAGTCACGTAATAAATGTTACAGACTTGCAGAACGTGTGAAGGGGCGAATATGATCCCATTTTGGCAATCAAGATGAGAAGGATATTTCATTTTTTTATATATCCTTTCACTTTCAGTGCCACAGGTTTCACTTGCTTAGGGTTACAGGATGCTAGGAATCCTCGCCTTTTAGCCGCTTTTCCGGTATCTCCCCACTTTCATGGCCCTCTGTACAAAGAATGTAAGGAGTATCTCAGATGGTCTAGACGAGGGATGAAGATGGCGTGACAAACGTCATACTTCAACCAGATACATTTTTACCCAATATTTACTCTTAATAAAGCCAATAAATATTGGTTCTCATTTGGAAAGAAGGCTGAGTGAACCTTACGACCGCACTGAAAAGTCATCACCAGCTCCGTGGGAATTTGAACCCGGGTCTTTCAGGTTAGCAAGCGTGTATCGTAACCACTACTCTGCTGCGAACCTATGTTTCATTTAAAGAAGTTATATATATGGCAATTATCTTCGAATATTAGGCAACCCATCATGCACAAATGTACGCCAGGTAAAAGAAATATCTTTGCTTGTATCAGAACGAAAAGAAACTTTAATATATAATAATTTGCCCCAATTATGGACAAATATCACATGTGTAACTTCTTTACATCAAAATTCCCACCACAACTTCATTGGCGAAATCAGATCTTTTTTGCTCCTGTTTATCCTAAAAGTTTGTAACTTTTGTTCTGAGAGACCTGCACAAGAAACTAATAGTTATGTGTAGTTAAACAAACTCATTGAATTTTTATTTCGTCGATTTTTTCTTGCAAAGGTGTTAAATATTTTACATAATCTAAAATTTAGAATTGAACATCATATTGCTACTTGAGGTAAACTAAATCTGAATGTCTATTAAGAAAAGGAAAATATTATTTACTGGTATATAGCTTTTAAAAAATGAATTTTGAATTGTAGTTTTGTTTGGTAAAAACTGTGAAAATAATGGAGGGCGAAATGAATATTTCGGAAATCAAATGAGGTGTAATCAAAATCTTATTTAGTTTGAACTGCGGTCGACAAGCTAAAATGTAATGTGCTGTAATAAGAGTAACAACGGATTAATAATGTTTGTAATAATGAGTCCAAGATATATTCGTTGATCTCTCTACATTGTTGCGAGTTTATAATAATTCCTAAGTCTGTGCTATATTTTCTAATGATTATGTTTTGGACGGTTTGTAAAGGTTTAATATTATTTGGGCTCACGTTCTTCTATGCGGCACATGCATAAGTTAATGTTGGCATTAAACAAGATAGACACTCCAATTAATAATGTTCAGAAGTCAAGGAGTGATTGCAATTTCGAAAATCGTATAAATGCCGTTGTCGTTGATTTAAAGTCTTTTAAACTTTTAACCGTTGATCTTACTTATGCTCTCTACAGACACCACAATCTTATCAGATTTATATTTTGCAAGAAAATAGCAGCTGCAGTAGTATGTTTGTCACTTAGCGTGTCTTATCTGTTTGTCCCCATCTGCAACAGCGACGCCATTCTTGCAAGAAAATAAGAGATATATTTATCACTTTTGAAGTGATACTAACCTTGATATGTCGCATCAGCCGTTCTTGGCAGGGTTAGTGACGCTTCATCCAAATGCACGGTGTTCAGTTTCCCGTTTCATGATGTAATCTCTCAACCTTGCGGTCATTACCTTAGTTTAGTTCACTGTTCACCAACTGCTTCTAAGACAGAAAGTAAGCATTTCTTTCTCAAGAAGACAGTATTTTTTTAAATTTTAATTGCAATAATAACATTAACTATTGTAAACTCACGCCCATCATGTAATGAGGGATGTAGTTCATGGGTATTTGGTCAGGGTAAAAACAATTAAATCATTTATTTGCCGACGTTTCGGAATCTTTTAAATCCACCATCATGGCTAGTGTACAAAAACAACTACGCATGAAGGCATTAATATGAATATAAATTCACAAATTAATGGTATGATATGCAAAGCATTATACACTTTTTTATCTTTTGTCGTGTCATATTATTAACTAGTGGAGCCAGCAATTCTTCGCTATTGCAATGTATTATACTTCCCACACTACTGGTCACGTGATTGTGAACCACGTTTTACACTACGCTTCGCAAAAATTTCAATAGACGAAAGCCTTTCGCGGGTATGGGTTTGTTGTATGTCCTGGTTTGGACACGGTTTTCAAGTATCCTATACTTAAAATGTTCTCTCTCAAGTTTGGGCGTTTATTCGCTACGATTTGTCTTGGTGGTCCGAGATATTCGGCCTATATTTTACAATCGCAGGGGCAGAATATGCAGCATAGTCGCGCTTAACACTTGGGTGTGAGGCAGATTGCCTAGAGCTTTTGTCATAATTACGTAAATTAACATCTACATCGCCCCATTTTTTGCGTCTATGTGTGGCCGACATACGCACATTCGCATTGTATGCCTATATTCTTTGCTCAACAGCTAGCAATAAGTTGACAAAGTTTAATCGCAATCGAATGAACGGTACGGCAGCGCATAAAATAGGAACAAACAAATATTGATTCTTACTTTCCCGTATACATACGTATAAACGTAGTATTCGGAAAGTTATGTAATGCTTCGGAAAATCGGTTCGCAGATTTCAATGGAAATGCACGTTTTGGAGGCCTCTGATACCGAAAAGTGTTGATTTTTTCACCGTCCATCCATCTGCCCCTGTCCGTTTTTCTGTCTGTCCGTCTGCCTGCCCTCGTACTGCGGGCAATTTGTGCAATTTTTAAAAATTACAAAAATAATATTTCGTCGAAAATGGCTTAGCAAATTTTTTTCTTTAAAATTTTGGTAGGAATTATGCTAAATGCATTCTATACAATGACATAAACGCCATATTGCTCTATTCTTTTTTTTCGAACATTACAAAAATGTATTTTTTTACTTGTCTCTCAAGTATATATATATATATATATATATATATATATATATATATATATATATATATACATTAGCGAGTATTTATTCACATATTTATACTTATGCGTTCATGCGCTTAGAAGATTATCATATAAAGCTTCTCGAAAACTCAAGCTGTGAAAACTAGCTCATATTCAGAAACGCTCAAACGCAATTTTGTCAAAAACAGCTCCAAATTTAATTTCAAACTTTTCAAAAGGTTAGAACTAAAAATATTTTTTTTAGTTCTCTCACGGCGTAAATATGCATATTTACAGCAATTTGTAAATACTATTGTATTTGTGAGTTAAAGTGACTTACGAAGTAAGAGCGTGGAAGTAAAATTACGACAGAAATTAATACTACTTTATAGTGGATATTTTCGCCATTTGGTTGGCATGATCCCATTCATGATTATTCATTTTTCACACATCATTAATCGCGTTTCAACAACCCTGTCAACATCCATTTAGTTTTTTAAAAGTTGCGATAAAATTTTTGCAATATAAATTCTATGAACGATGTAAAATATTCTCCTGTGAAAGGTTTTCCTGTTGGTGTTGGTCAGGTCGCATAATTTTCACCGAATGCCTGCCATCTCCCTTGTCGGCTTCGTGGTCTGGAAGAACACAGGTCTTTACATTAACTCCACCAGCGGGTGCTGAGAAATAAGGCGCCCCATGTCGTCACAGAGACCCGATCCTTCGTTTCTTAAAGATATTTCTTAAATAAATAAAGTCTTAAGTTCAAATTAATGAAACTTAAAATTTCAAACAACACAAAATACTGTCAACATGTCTATCGGCAA